GTTTGATACCAAACTTATTGGCATAAATTCATGAAATAGTAGTTCAATAAACTTTTGAATGCGAGTCAACAAACAAGATGACATAGCCTTTCACCTGTGACCCATATCAAAGGGTTAATGAGCTTGATGATTAACCAATTTGTAAATTCAAATAATCATCCTACTCTACAACAGACATCATTTAACTAGTCAACTGACCAACTTGGCAATGCGGGAAAAGAAATCCGGGCCAACTGAGGCTTCATTTACTATACAATTAAATAAAACACCAACAAAAAATGAAGCCCTTTACATCATATACCTACCTATCTAACAATTTTTTCATTTTATTTATAGTGAAAACAAAAGTATTTAAGCAGCCCCATTGGGTGTTTGAAGCTGAAGAGGACTCTTTGGAAGTTAAGAAGAAAAAAAAGAATCTAATCCATAAAGGAACATGTTAAACATAAGAATATTAAAAAAAAGATAAAGAAAAGTGACAGAATAAAAACTACATTAGCTGAATCTCATCCAGAGAAAATTGTAGAACACAAGACAGATTACAAGCATCATAAAGCTTAGTTGGATAAAAACATCATGCAATTACAAGCCTCTTTTAGGATCCATGACAGTTAAATGCCTAAAGTAAGTAAAGGGAAGAAGGAAAGTTTCTTCTATTAACTGCCACATTACTGGTATTGAATCTTTGAATGCTCTACTAAAAGCTACACATGGCTATGTAAGGACAATGATCAGACAAAATGGATTTCACCTTTCTTTATATCCCATTCTTAACAAAGCTAAGGTAAAAGAATAGTAAAAAAAAAAAAATTAGAAAGCATTTTGAGAAGATATATTTTGGAAAACATGGATTTAAACAACACCTTTTAATACCTTTTGCAAATGCTTAAACCAATTTTTAGTGTCATGTTTATTATCACAAAGATACTATACAAAAAAGACAGAACTTCTAGATAGCATTTGAAAATGCAATAAGAACTGTTGTAATATTATTGTAACTGTTTAAAACATGTAACAAACATATATGCTAAGAACTTACAAATGAAAGCTAGGAAGAATATGTTATGTTAATCACACTACATCCCCCACATCCAATGCCTGTAAATCCTTTCACCCAATAACAGGGCTCATCAGGTCAGCTGGGATACAACAGACATAGTAGTGATCTAGGTGTTATATATATATATATATCATAAATTTCCATGAACTACAACTGTTATGTTCTGAAGTAGATTAAATAAATGAATTATAATTGTCAGTTTTATTTAAATCATTTACAAATCAGATATTTAGAGTAAGGACTAATAATACAATATTATTTATTTAATACCAATTATTTTTTTTTAACAAACTTTACTATCATTCAGATAAACTGGTAAACCAGCAAGCTAGTCTTATTATTCCTGGAGCAGGTCAAGCAACCACAGAGTCAATGGGAGAAAACTACATTAGTAATTATAAGAATAAATAACTTGGACACTAGCAAGTTAGCTGCATCCCAGTAGTAGACTGTCTATATGTTATAGATATGCACATTCTCAAACATAAGTGTGAAAAATTTTTGAAAACTTCATTTGAATATGAAATATTTACCTATCTAGACCAAAAGGAAAAGAAACATCTAGCATATTTCACATACTAGAATATTAGTTAATATTCTTTTACAACTAGAAGCAAAATAGTTGAACTGTTTTCCATTGTCACATTTATCATTACACAAATACTACACAAGAAGACAGTCTTCTAGATATAACTACAGATTAATTACTTTTCTTATATTTCATTTCATTTATTATAATTCTTTCATGTGTGCACTAAATGGTATCAAATAGTTGATACACTAAAACAAGATTATAAAGGTAGCTTGAATTATAGTGTGTAAAAGCTAGAACTAACCTCAGGCTAAATTTATTATTGTTATCAGCTTTACAGTGGAAATTGATTTTTTTTCAGCAATTAAAACTAACTTTTTCACTCCATAGGAGCAGACTATCTTCATACAGCGTAAATTAACAACAATTACAAATTCGAAATGTAATGGTTATTCTTGGCAATGCAATTTGAATTAATAATTGCTTTGTACATGGTCTGAAGCTGGTCAACTCCTATGAGATGAAACATTGTAGTTTTAAGTACTTAACAAAACTTTGGTAATGTAAAGCTGATCACAATATTAAATTTAATTACCCAGAGGGATCCTCATATATTAGTAATCTCAGATTAATGGTGCAATCAATAAAAGATATCAGTATGTGTACCAAAATTTTGTGCACCTGTGATTAAAAAAATAAACTAATGTAATATGTAATAGATGATATATTAGCAATTAATTTTAAAAAGTACACAATTTTTAGCCTTAAGAAAATCAGACTTAACTTTCTTGCTCTTTCATATATTGCAGAAGTTTATAAGGTGAAACATTGCTTTTCAATACAAAATACTTAATGCACTGCAAAAAAGGGCAAATCCTATTTTGAGTGGAATTTTTAAAATGCATTATGCTTTCTCTCTCTTTCTTACTATATTATATATATATATATATATATATATATATATATATATATAT